CCTTGAAAAATTCCTGTGTGTGCTACTGGTGTGTAGTAATTCGCTAATAGTATTTTTTAGCTACCAAATAAAAAAATGTGTCATTTCTAACTATGGATATTTTTGTGTTGTTGCTTATTATTGAATTTCCAAAAGGTGCAATTTAATTTCTTTTTTTCGACCCGATATTATGAACAACCCGAAATAACGAATAAAATGTTCGATCCCAGGGAGTTCGTTTCGTTGGGGGTACGACTGTATCTTTAATTTTCTCACAAGAATACTTTAAAAAAAAAAAAAAAAAAATTGCACTATCTCTTTACCAGAATAATATTTAACGTTCCTGGTTAAGTCGCTTTGAAAATGTTGCAGAGCACGGACATTTTGAGAATATCGTGAAAAATTTTGTAGCTTTTTTTTCTTATAAAATAACTAGATTTTAAAAAAAAATTACTTGAAATACCCATTTGTGACCGCAGTCGCCAAGTGGTCGACGTCGCAAACTCGTGGCTGCAGTTGTATCTGTCAGATAATGGGTTAAAGTCCAGGTGCTGCTGAAAACTCGCCGTGTAGAGGGGCTGATGTACGTTAAATATGTTGTGCAACCCAAGGTCCTCACATTGGCGTGGTAGGGAAGTTTGAAGAGTATGATACTAATCAAGGTGACATTATCGTTACTTGACCTTGGTTCAAAATTTAGAGAAATAATGAAGAAAAGTTCTTGTGTAGCTTTGAAGTACGAAGTAATCAATAAATCAATTAATCAATTGGAGATTGCAATATGATTAAAATACAGTCGAACCTCCATTTTACGAACCTCTATTTTATGAATTTCTCTTATTTTCCGAGCATTTTTAGGGAATCAAGAAGATTTTACTATTTTCTTTGTAAAATAACTTCCAAATAGTGAAGTGCATTTTCTATTTAACGAACTGTTTCTCCTGTGATTCAATTTTTTTTCCTCCCGATTTTTGAAATATTTCTGGATGTTTGAAATTATTCTTCCTTTTAACACATTTTGTGGGGATCAATGACCTTAAACTGCTTTTACCAGGTGCCTAACTCACCGAAAGCAATAAAATAGCTGTAATTTTTTAAACAAAATTTACACATTTTATCAGTAATTAAATTTAAGAACGCAAATGGTAATGCATATTTAAAAATACTGCTTAAGAAATGCATGTTTAAAATTACTTGTAGGCTTAAAATTAGAAAATGTCATTAAAATTCATTAATTTCAGTATAAAACTATTTTTTTAAAGATGAAACTACAGTGTATTCCTGGACAATATTTTTTTGTTTTTGTTTTCCCCCTCTTGCAGATTTCTTTTTTTTTCGATGGGTAATATATATATAAAATAAACAGATATTAATTTACAAAATAAAAGAGCGAATAATTACTTTCTTAATAAGTGTTTAAGAATTTAAAATTTGTTTTATGTGGTTTATAAAGTACATTAAAAGATGAATCTCTATTTAACGAAATTTCCTCATAACGAACTTTTTTTTCTGGATTTAGTGACTTCGTCAAGTAGAGGTCCGACTGTTTGATAATTTCACTGTTCTAGAACGAAGTTTGTCAAAAAATTAAGATACAATATTTTCAATTCCGTTGTATCTAAAACAAAGCAAAAATTTTACAATTCAGAAATATGTAGCATTTATTTAAATAACTAAAAGTCTTAAAAAATACTTCTAATCATAAACTAATTTAAATTTGCAGTTTTAAAATTGAAAGAACACGTGAATTAAGAGATTGAGAAGTACTCACTAAAGAAACTGCACATTTGCATTCATTTAATTCTTGATTAAAAAAAGTGTTGAACTCGAAAGGACATTTTTCACAAAAATCTAAGAATAATTTAATACAAGTTAATTTAATTAAATAGATTGTGTGAAAAAAAAAGTCTAATCGGCACCTTCATTCAGCATTCCATTCAACTACTCATAGTGGAAATGCAAATGTCCATGTAGGTGCTAACTTTATTAATATTCATTCAACGATTCTATTCGAATTTTTTCAGTTATTATTCTTTACTTTTCAAAAAAAAGGGAAAAAATTGAAAAGGCAATTTATTCCAAAGGATAAAAATAAAATCCGATGTTTTGATATGAATGTTAGGGATAAAATAGCTTCCAACCTTTCATTTAATCAGTCGGATTGCTTAGAAGGGAGATTTTTATATCGCTGCTTTATTCGAATCTGTGCTTGCCATTTTATTTGATTTCGCGGCACATTAGAAATGAAAGGACGCAATTATCACTTTGATTTATTTTAGTGTTTGAAATGAATTTTTCTGCATTTTTTTCTTTTCATATTGTTAAAGTGTATAAATAGATTACTAAGATTTTTTTTCGATGTTATGCATTTTCCTTCTGTATTATGCACGTGTCATTTAAGAGTAACAAAGGAAAAAAATGTTAAAAATTGCAAAAAGAAAATTACGTTTGTCATATATTTTCCTTCTGTTTGCAGAAGAAATAAGAATGGATCATATATTTAAAAAATGTATTGAGTTTAGATAGCTACCATACATAAAAGTGCGGTAGAATTTTTTGGTAATAGTATTAGTTATTAATTCAAGTTATTACATATATATATATATATATTCTCAAAATTCGAATCTTCTTTTATAATATCTAATTCATAAATTCATATATATATATATATATATATATATATATATATATATATATATATATANCCCTATTACGAAGCGCGTCTCATTTAATCTTTTTCTAAGGGATTAAAAGCATTTTAATAAATTAATTAGTGATTCCTCGTTAAAAATATTTGGTCTAGAATTTTTGATAAATGTGTTGGGATTTCAAGTAATATAGAATATCATAATGGCTTACACGTGCTTTATTAACCGGTTTAAAATATTCCCTAAAACAATGATGTAATTTCTATAAGTAACTTATATCTCCCTTCACTTGAATACGTGATTATATATTTTTATTATACATTTTTCTCTGTTCTTCCTTCCATATTGAAATGTGAAAATATAATTATTCCATCTCTTGTGTTTTCTGGATCTTAAACGAAGAGCTCACGCTTAAAATAACTCTCC